CTGGCAGGCAGCCACTTCTGATGCTCTACCCAATGAAAGAAATTTAGTAGAATACTTCCAGTCTAATATCAGGCTCTGAAGATGTCAATCTCCAACTCCTGAGGGATTGGCCTTACAAGGCTAATGTTTCACATTTCCCTTTAAACATTTTTTTTCAGACCATAAGTGAAGTGCTTTGTAGTTGCTGGGTTGCTTTTTGTTTTGTTTTTTTAAGTTTCACTTTTATTCAGAATTGCTTTAGAAATAAAAGAGCTCAGGTGCTGTCTTGCTCATGCCATTTGCCAGCTGTGCAGACTTGGCATGGAGAATTTACTGGGGCTTTGGGTAAATAATCCTTGCCAGGACTTATATGTAGAATTGTAACAGTGTAGTTGGTGTTCCTTGCTCACAAACATCAATTTCCAGACACCTGGGAACAAGGCATTCTCTTCTCTTCTCTTCTCTTCTCTTCTCTTCTCTTCTCTTCTCTTCTCTTCTCTTCTCTTCTCTTCTCTTCTCTTCTCTTCTCCCCTCCCCTCCCCTTCTCCCTCCCCTCCCCTCCTCTCCTTTTCTCTTCTCCATTCCACTCCACTCCCCTTCCCCTTCCCCTTCCCCCTTCATAATATCGTGAATTTTCCACATGGAAAGTTCCCTCACAAGTTCAGACTGAAATAACAGAGTGCTCTGTTTACAACCTCCTTATAATTGTGTGGCTTTCATACAAGTTTGTCAAATGTAAGCCTTATTTTTAAAAATGGTCTGTATGTTAATATTAAATGTTAACAAGGCAAATTTCTGATTTGGATCTAATGCCATCCTATTGTGGAAGTCTTTCATTTTCCAATTATATGTAGAAGAGCAGAGCAATTTCACTTACAACTCAATTTACTTTTATTTTCCTACAGTAATAGGGCCATTACAGTGTTGCATACTTCATGAAGATGAGTAGATAGCCTGTTCAGCTTCTGAAAAGTACCTTTTAATGAAAAGCCTTACTCTATAATTTGTTCCTGTCTTTGCTTATTGCAAATTGAGTAGTTATCCCCATTTCTTGATATGTCTTGATGCATTCACACATGAAATGGATGCTTATTTTGATTTACTAAAACAGACAGAAAAGTTTGCTCTTGATCAAATATTGTTTGCACATCAGGCAGATGATATTGCAAATCATATATCCCAGATACTCATCTATGCTCATTTAATAGTTTTAAGAAAATCCTTGCTTTCACTAGATGCTTTGATTGACCAGAGCTATGTGGAACCTTTCTTGTAGCCTGGATAAAAAAGTTTCATAGAATTGGCTCGTGAAACTGGAATATGTATCATCACAGAAAACAGCTTTAGCTGCTGGAACAGAAAGGAATTCCCTTTCCCCAGATTCTGCACATTCGTCTTCAAAATCTCCAGAGTGTCCCCCAGTTTCCAACACCAGATTTCATGGATGAATGAAAATGCATAAAGAACAGAAAGAAGAAATTCAGTTGAACGAAAGGAAAACTGTACATTGGATGCTTAGGGAATGCTCAAGGAGGGGGTGGATTTTGCAAAAAAAAAAAAAAAAATTAAACACTTGTGAAATCAAGAGAAGAAGAAGAAGAAGAAGAAGAAGAAGAAGAAGAAGAAGAAGAAGACGAGGAGGAGGAGGAGGAGGAGGAGGAGGAGGAGGAGGAGGAGGAGGAAGAAGAGGAGGAAAGATGAAGAAGAAGAAGAAAAAGAAAAAGAAGAAGATTGTGATAATCATTCAGTTAGTTAATTAATTACATAAATGTATTCTCAATTTCTTCCCAGCACTGTACGCGGTGATCTCACTTATCCTTATCCTCACAACAGCAATCCTGTGAAGTAGTTCGAACTGAGATGGAATGATTTGATCAGTCAAATGATCAAATGAATTTCCACAACTGAAGATGGGTATGAACCTGAGTCTTCCCAATTCTAGTTCTTAACATTTCAAATTAAATCAGTGGCTCTAAGTCTATAGAATCTGCATTTCACATATATAGATTAATCAATTTTAATATAATTGATTAAAAGATTAATCAATTCTAATAAGTTAAGCCCATAGCTTTTTCCCCATAAGGAGATTTGTAAAGATTCTCATTTAGGTGAAGTTCCTTTTCAGAACAAGTTCTTAACTTCAACCATTTTTTATATTTCCTTTGAAATAAATTTGGCTTACTGGAATTAGAATTCAGGGTTGTTGTTATTGTTTTTTCCTTTTTTGGAAAAATATGAAGTTACTTTTAGTTTTGCAACATTTTCAAGTATTTAGATTTCCAAAATGTTTTAGGCATGTGAATGATCATGGGATTCATTAAAAGGAAAGTTAGTTGTCTGAACATCAATAGGATTCTGAAACTAAAGAAATGTGCTTGGAACAAAATCTTTGAACTGTCTCCAACTGTTTGTTCCTATCACGGACATCATGGATGGCTGTCAGGTTCTTAGCTAGTAAGATGTGGCCAAGGGCAGTGAGCAAATGTTCTACCTTTCATTGTACCATCACATCTTTACCAGATCAATATCCCAGATTTCTGATACTTCAATAAAAACCCAGCAGAAGGACATCAGGAGGTTACTCTGTCCAAAGGCATTTTTAGATCAAGGCAGCGTAGGCACCCCAGATGACAGTAGAATAATGGAAACATGTGTAACTGTAAAAACACAATATCAGGATCTCAACCATCTCACGATGACAACGTATCATTGAAAACATGACAGACGTTTTTAATAATGGGTGTTAGGTACAGCGATAGAAACCTTGTCACAAGGGAAGCACTTTGGAGGAAAATTAGAAGAGTTTTCACTTGTATTAAATCTGAATATTAAGAGGACCATTTTTCAATGGGTTATTTCAGTATATATTTGTGGATGTAGGAGCTGAGTGAAATAGTTTGGAAGTCAGAAAAGCAGGGAGAACAAATATGAAACAAACATGACACTTTTGCTACTTATTTCTTCATGCATATGCATATTGTACCATCCTATCTTTACCAGATCAATATCCCAGGTTTCTGATACTTCAATAAAAACCCCACAGAAGGACATCAGGAGATTACTCTGTCCAAAGGCATTTTTAGATCAAGGCAGTGTAGGCACCCCAGGTGACAGTAGAAACATGGGTAACTGTAAAAACGTAAGAATATCAGGATCTCAACCACATATACCATGTTTTCCCGAAAATAAGACCCTGTCTTATATTTTTTTGAACCCCAAAATAAGCGCTTGGCCTTATTTTCGGGGAGGTCTTATTATTTTGGACAGGGTTTCTCTTGCTGTCTTACCTGATTTCCAGCTCTGTCTCCCTAACCCTAACTAGAGGAAATGGTGGGGACTGGCTGCGCATGCGTTTAAATATTTTGGGGAAGGGTTTATTTTAGTGCATACACTCAAAAGCTCGATTGGGCTTATTATCAGGAGATATCTTATTTTCGAGGAAATACGGTATACAGCTATTTTTTCTAGGCAACTCAGTTGACCTATAACTTTTAAAAATGTTTATAAGCCAAATCATGTGATAAAACTCTTTTTATACCATTTAGATGTTGACAACAACGATATTCAGATGTTCATGCATGAAAAGCAAAGATGTTCTTTTTTAACAATCATCTGAGGAGATGCAAGATGTTTTAAAGCCATTCTTATTCAAATGGAATAAAGAAGACATTTTAATGTTTATTCATATCCTACAATTGCCATTATTACAGATTGTCCTGTTTTCAGATCAAATTTCTCTTAAATCACAATTAACTGACAAGTCCACCAGGAATTTATTTGCAAGCAAATCAGTACAAACCCAAACAAACTCGTTGCAACATAAATGGGCAGTTAACTATTTCTTGGTTCAGAGCTTATATACAAAACATTTTGCATTACTGGGGCACTTGATTATTTTAATTCTGTTTCGTTTGTTTGCTTTATTGACATTTTATTGTAGATACTTGTAGTTAGATATTCAGACTTAATATGTAAGATAGGTGATCATATATATTTTCAAAACAATAAAATAAAATAATAGATGTGTGTATTTAGGGGAATCCAAACTCAAGAAATGTTCTACCTGAAAAGATGCATAGAGAATGTGAACAATGCAGAACATTATGGGACTCTTTTGAAGTGACAGTCTTTAACAGATAAACAGAGTTGGAAGGACCCTTATAGGTCATCTAGTCCAACCCCCTGCTCAAGCAGGAGACCCTACACCATTTCTGACAAATGGCAGTCCAATCTTTTCTTGAAAGTCTCAAGTGATGAAGCTCCCACAACTTCCGAAGGCAAGCTGTTCCATTGGTTGATTGTTCTCACTGTCAGAAAGTTCCTCCTCATTTCTAGGTTGAATCTCTCCTTGGTCAGTTTCCATCCATTATTCCTTGTCTGGCCTTCAGGTGCTTTGGAAAACAGCTTGACCCCCTCCTCTCTGTGGCAGCCCCTCAAGTATTGGAAGACTGCTATCTAACAAATTTTCAGCTCTCAACTTATTTACTAGTTTTAACTTGGTTCTCTTTCTTCTGCTAATGAATTTCACTTGTCAACTCTACTCTGAGCAACCTGAATGACTTTTGAAGGCTGACCAATCCAATGATGAATTGGGAACTGACTACTTATGAATGGTGCTTATAGTGTGTGCCAATCTGTGTTCTGGGGACTCTGTGGCACTGAATCTTACTGTGTCAGCTTGCTTCTTCTACATCAACTAACTGTTGGCAATGAATCATGCTGGTGATGAGGAAGATCTCCCCACAAAGAACTAGGCTAGTCAACCAGATCACTTTCCAAAGTTCAGAGATCAGAGCAGGAAAGTTGTACTTTGGCATTCCACCAAAGCTTCTTAAGAGGTTCAAATTTGCCAGTTGGCTATACAAACCTTCTATAGTTGGCATGCCAGAAAACCTATTCTTAATTTTTTTAAAAAAAATTGTACAAAAAGCAAAGGAAAATATACAAAATTATAAACAAAAACAAACATAGAAACCATATTTACAGACTTATCAACATCAATAAACTGAGGCCATGATTCATTGCAGTTATCCATAGTTGATATATATTATATAATTCTGGAAACCACTGAGGCCATTTGTTCATGTTTCTGATGATGAATAATAAATCTTTTGATTGTAAGTCCATTTTATTTGTCCAGAAGTCAATTTCCATGCAGTTGAGTTAGGGTATCCAGCACTCTTCAATGTCATGCAGCTGGGAAGCAAGAAAAAAAAGGGAAATACAAAAAGAAGATCTTAATTTTAAACATATTTTTGAAAGTTGTCGTTTGCAAGTGATGTCTAACCAAACTTGCATTGATTTGTAGGTGTTTTATAGATTCTTTGCTGGATGGTTCAGAAATAGTTGCACTGTCATTTTTTTATCTCTGTTATTTCTGCTTGAAAAGATTACAGGGGGATATTTTAAATTTTTATTGCAATGTAACCCATTTGGGTATCCGACTGACACTTCCCAAAGTAAATCTCTAGTGAAAGATCTGCAATATCTGCTGTTTTCACATCATTCTATCCAAACCTGAACCAACTGTAGTCATTGTGATTCTTTCCCATTCTCTATATAGACCATGGGTGTCAAACTCGCCATATCACATTGCCGTCACATGACATTCTGTGATGTTTTTCCCATTTGCGGAGCTGGGAAGGGCGTGGCTTGGATATGACGGATCTGGCCCATGGGCTGCCAGTTTGACACTCCTGATATAGACAAAGCTTTTACTGAATTAAATCTCAAATCAATTCAGATCAAATGTCTTTAAATGCTGAATTAAAATCAAATTGTGTTTCTAGCCTAGGAACAAATCTCCCCCCTCCCATCAAGCCTATCAGAATGAATTTGCCCCCGAATCACAAGCTCAAATCTAGTTACATTTGAAATTCCAACCTTCAATTCAGATTGAATCAGGGCTGATACAAACAAAAAAATCACTGGCTGAATTATTGTTGATTTTGTGTGAAATTGTATTATCACCCTTCCATTGTTTCATTTCTTGAATGGGCCTGGCCCAAGAAACTGGCTGATAAATAGTGAAACGAATGCTTTGAATCCACAGCATTCTAAAGGGGACTTTTTCCTTGGAAATTGAAACCACATGCTCCTTTTAAGCCTCTGGACGGGATCTAAGCTACAGATCTGGAACAAGCTGAATGGATTACTAAGCACACACACTGCCAATAACAATGATGTCATTGAAAACATGGACACAATTCTTGTTATGAATCCAGGGAAGTTTAAATACATATCGACTTCAAGTGAGAGACATTAAGATGTGATTCTAATGTGTGCGAAATAGCCTCCTGTGCAAAACATTATTACAGCACATCTTTCTTCTTTGGATAGTCTATCACTTCATTTAAGGAAATAAGTCATGAGCAAGTTTCTGATGGAAATGGTTAGAGATTTATGCTGTTCCTGTACGCCAGGGGTCCCCAAACTTGGCAGCTTTAAGACTTGTGGACTTCAACTCCCAGAATTCTCCAGCCAGCTGCCAAGTTTGAAGGCCTCTGCTGTACACCTAAAAGACTCTGAAACCGTTTGATATACTTAGTAGCTTTATTTATTACGGGCTTATAACTAGATCTGGTCTAAAACTAAAATAACAATGAATACAATCATCTATTACAATTCATTATATTAGAATATAAAATAGGGCGTCTCCAAGCTCATGATGGCCTGTGGTATGTGATATTAACTTACAGTATATATATTAAGAATTACACAACAGTTAGGATTCGTTATATTAATCAATTTTAAACTGATGGAATGTCCATACAACAATAAAAGAATTGTGGTTTTAGATTATAAAAAAAAAAATCAAAATTTATTCATTAGTTACCTTTCAGCCAGGATTTCCAGGAGGCCACAGAACCTATCAAATATTCTAAAACATCCTTTTCTGTTGACCAAATTACAAAATGAAATTATTTTAGCTAGCTGGCTAGTCAACTTGAAATAGTTTATTTTACAACACCATGAGCTGGTCAAAGAAGTGTCTTTATTATTTTTAAATGACTCAAGTAATACACATGATAGCTCCATGAACCCAGAGGACTAACTCTCTGCCCCACTACTTCACTTTCAGCTCTCACAGAGTTAGTCCCATTCAGGATATCATTTTTTTAAAAGAAGAAAAGAAAATAACACCCCAAAGACCCTTGTTTCACTTGTATTCTTCTTCCTCCTCCTTTCCATTGCCCTTTGCTTATAAGCCAAAGGACAAAGACTATCTCAATGCCAGTTGATTTGCAGGGTGGGGTGGGGAGGGGAGATAAGGGAAGGTACCACTGGCAATCTTTTTAAGGGAGACTCAGGAGAAAAATCCCATTAAATAAACAAAAATTCATTGTCTTCTGCCAAACTCTAGTTCATGGTTGCCATAGTTACTTGCTTCTATATAAAGAAGCATCACTTTCTTTTCTTCACCCCACTAGAGCCGGAAAAGTATTCATGCATATTATGTATATGTCTTGTCAGTGGCAGGAAAGGTATATTTTTACAGCAGGCCTGAACTTCTCTACTCTAGCCCAAGCCAGAGTTCAGAATGAACTTGACTGTAAGCAAAATTTCGCTAATTCAAAGATGCCGCGAGAGCAAATCAGCACCGCATTGGATAGGTCATTAAGGCACCTTGCTCACCCACCCTGCATTTCTTAAAGGGACACCATCATAACTTCCTTCCTAGTATGCAGAGCTGCAAGATATTTGCAAAAGGGGATCATTAAACAACCAATAAATAAATAAATAAATAAAAGAATGCCTTTGAATGTTTTCAGGAGTTCACAGAACACCTCTTTTATGTAGTCATTTATAAATTAAATGTAAGTATAACATTTGGTTGCCATACTTTATGGAACCACAATTATTATATTGTTTAAAAAAAAAACTTCCTGGAAGACTTTGAAAATGTTTAATTAGTTGTTTTGGAGAGCTAGGTCTGTGAAAATACAAATTTGTCAAATGGCACGCTGACACATACCCTAGATCTGAAAAAATACTGTAGTTATGGAAGCTTTTGTTTTGTGTTGTGTTGTTATTTTCCTGTGGTTTGGGCAGACATGCAAGAATTTTGTCCTGTTAAAGATCATATAATAATTATTCCATAAATTGTCAGTATGTGTTCATCTGTTACTCTTCTAATCTGTGCGTTTTTGTCTGACTCTCCAGATTTTATTCTCTGTTCGCACAACTCACTACATATTTATCTACCACTTTTTTAAAAAAAGGAAGAATAGAATAGAATATAATTCTTTACTGGCCAAGTGTGATTGGACACACAAGGAATTTGTCTTGGTGCATACGCTCTCAGTGTACATAAGAAAAGATACGTTCATCAAAAATCATAAGGTACAACACTTAATGATAGTCATAGTGTACAAATAAGTAATCAAATCATATTAGGAAACAGTCAATATAAATCATAAGGATACCAGCAACAAGGTTATTGTTGTAACCTTGTTGCTGGTCATAGTCATAAGCGGGAGGTATTTTTTTGGGAATTTTGAGAGCATATGATATATCCACTTATAAAATGGCTGGACTATAAAACTGACTATATGTCTGAATAATGGCCATGGCCTATCATAAAATACTTACTAGCCCCACAACCCCAGAATTCCTTTTACCATTCTAACCCACATTCACAACCCAATACAGTTCCTTCAAAAAAAAAAAGTAGAGTCTTGAAGGTTGACAGCAGAGCTTCTCCTTTTTCTTCTCTCTCAGGCTTGTATAAAAGTTCTAACTCGGGGAGGGGGGTAACCTTGGCAACTTTAAGACTTGTGGACTTCAACTCCCAGAATTCTGACATGCTGGCTGGGGAATTCTGGGAGTTGAAGTCCACAATCTTAAAGTGTTTAAGGAAGATATCCCTGGTCTAAATGTCAAACAACTGTCAAGGTCTCCTCCAAGCTTTCATCAATACCTCCAAAAGTTAGAAGGGGGGAGGTCTCCACCTATGCTATAGAGGCATAGAAACCTCCTTCTGCACATATTGTAGCTATACAGATAGAAAAAAATTCCTGCATGTACAAAATTTTTGCCAGAAGTTGGGTGGTGGTTGAGGTTGCAAGGCAATATGTGGTATGTTAACAATGCAGAGGTATTTCTTTTATTTCAAGACTCTTTTAAAAAAGATTAAATGTCACCCAATTGTAATACTTCATGAAAGCTGGAATCAAATTGTATAGTGTATATATTCTATGCAGTGATGAAATCCAAATTTTTTTTACTACCAGTTCTGTGGGCGTGGGTTGGTGGGTTTGGTGTGGCTTGGTGGGCGTGACAGGCGTGTCTAGGTAAAGGATGTTTCCTTGAGGGGAGAATTACTGGTAAAAGGTAAAGATGACTTTTGGTCTGGTTAGCTAGGAAGTTACTTGTAAGTTAGTCTGTATAGACTTGTGAATTTAGATTAAGCTTTGCATTTCTTTGAAGCTTGTGGAAATAGTTTAGCTAATTTTTGATAGAAGTGTGGTGTGATTCCTCTGAAGTGGGGAGAGTTGAGTATTTATTGAGACTCTATTGATTTATTGATAGTTAATTTTAAACTAAGTTGTTTGGAAGAAAGGTTGAAGGTTGAAGAGTTGAAGAAAGTAAAATATAGTGTTGCTCCAGTGTTATGTTTGCTTATTAAGTTTCCAGTAATGTTTTCCTGGTTTAAGGAAAAATTTCCACTGTCTGTAGTAGTGGAAGATGGTATAGCCAAAGGAATGTTGGTTTGCATGTGAACTGGGAACTAAAAAGGTGGTGCACAAATGCTAGGTTTTTAAAATTGTCTCAAGAGAGTTTGGTTCTCTTGACCAATAGGAGAGAGAGATGGGAAGATGTGGAATGAAATTGTGTGGTTATGAATAAATGAATTGAGAATTGGATGAGACTGGATGAGATGCAGTTGTGAATGGAGGCACTATTGAGATATTGGAAGGTGGAAAGTTACCGTTTGAATGGTCAGTGCAGATATGTGAGGTTTTTGCTTTATTGTAAGCATTGCACATATTAATTAATGAGGTAGGGAATATTTATGCTGATTTAAACTATGCTTATGGTATCTTACATACTTTTGGGATAATCTGGATTGAAAGGGGGTTGATATTTAGTGAAAGGAATTGCGATAGGTGGAAATTATCACAGCTGTTTTAAAAGCAGCTGGGGATCCTTCTAAACTTGATATTATATAAATAGTGGATGAAGGGGTGTGTGTAAGTGAATGGGAAATGGATTAATTACTAAATGGAGTGAGAATTTTTACTAAAGTTGTGATGTGGAATGTGATTGAATGAGTGCATGAGGGAACCTATTGGGGAACGCAAGCACTTATTGATTTTATTAAATGTATATGCATATATGTGTCTAGGGGTGTGTATACAATAGTTATACAAATGGTACGGAAATGAATACATTGTGTATATAAAAAAATATGTAGAGATTTGACCATTTGGCCTTTTCAATGAATCTAAGTAGATTACATTGAAATGCTGGTGGTGTGACCATTGATATATGTAATAATAATAGTGGATTATTTTACTGGATAGGTTGAAGCCTTTCTTTGTGTAAAGAAGATTGTTAAATCATATTAGAGCGAATAATACCCAAATATAGTGATAGGGGTATACATTTCATTGTCCAAGGTGATGAAGGTTATGGAACAATTAGGAATTGATTGGCAATTACATTTATTGTTTATGCAAAGTTCTATAGGGTGTTGTGAATGTGCTAATCAGATAAGTAAATCTATTGTTTAAAAATTAATGTTAGAGTTTCAACTACTTTGAATGAAGTGTTTGCCTTTGGCTCTATTAAGAATAGGAACTAGTCCTAGGAAAGATCTGGGGATATCTATGTATGAAATGATGTTTGGATTGCCATATGTGGGGAAAGTTGAGATGCCTAGGATAGAATTGAAGGATGTTTTTTCTGAAAATATATATACAGGGACTGTCCCAGTGTTTTTCTCATTTAAGGTAAAAAGGACAGAATCCACCTCTTGATTTCCAAGCATATGAATACAAAAGTGGAGACTGGGTCCGATAAAAGCCATTACTGAGAAGAAGTTGCAGCTGGTGTGGAAAGGACCGTTCCAAGTTTTGCTGACTACTGAATCGGCTGTAAGGACTAAGGAACAAATTTGGGTATGCTATTCCAGAGTCAAGGGATTGGTGGCTTTGCCTTATGGAAGGACAGTTGCTACGGAACCTGCAAACCCTCTTAAATTGACTTTTTGATGACAAACCTTTAGACGATTGATGACCAATGGATGGAAGAAGAGTTTTATGAAGAGATTTGTATTTGGCTAGGAGTGGTAATAATTCTTGTTGTGTTTTTGATTGTATTGAGGAAAGATATTATTGATTGGTGTAAATCTATGTTTTGATATCCAGTGGATGTAAGTTCTCCTTGATTGATTGATGTTGGGGGAGCTAGTTCACTAGGAATAATGGGGTTTTTTGTGGTAATGTTTGTTATTCTACAGGTGTGGATAGGAATGGGGATTTTGGCTGTGTTGCCCAGTTACCTTATAACATGGTAGCAGCTATGTTTCCATACTGAATTCGAGCACCGTTATTCTTTTATAGAAACACCACTAACCCTAATAGACACCACTGAGGAAGCTGAGATATGTATTAAGTCATCTTTTGAAGATGGTGTGTGCCAAGTGCAAACGTACATATGAGATAGTTCCTCAATACATTGGCCTTACAAATAGAATGGAATTTTTATATAAGCAATGCACTGAGCTATTTGGTAATTATATACCTTCATACAAGAAGTTTTGGATTTTGGAGGAAGGGTTACATTTTCTATGTCTAAGGATACAAGTTCCCTCCAAGTTAATGTTTTTATGTGGTAACATGGTATTGACCAAATTACCTATTGTATGGAAAGGAGTTTCTATACTGTTAC